TGGTGAACTGGAAAGTGACCTGAGATGACATGATGTGACTTTGAGCTATAGAAATACACTGAATAGAACTGAACTATTCACAGACTTGGATTATATTAAACTGAGCTTCCGAAATTCACCACTATTTGGCGCCATTTCCCTTTTTCCTCTTTCTTGGACTCGCAATGAATCCTCGCAATGAATCCTGGGCTACCTACGGAGGATACAGCGGACGGACCTGTCTTTCAAATCGGGCAAAAAGAAAGACGCATTTATCAGTCGCCTAACGAGGACTCTTTGGATCTGACCAGACCTCGGCGCCGCGCTGTGACGCAATCGGCCAACGAATCTGGCCTTCTGAGGACGCAGCCTCTGGATTCTAACTCAGTATCTGAGTGGCAGCAGGTGGGGGTGGGGCTTAAATGTGCTTCCAAATGTTTACATTGTTTTACCAGCAGTATTGTCTTTGCCAGCCTGGAAGTTTTTTATTTGAAGTGTTAGTTTATTCCTTCCTGAACAGCTTCTATCTCAGATTTTAGCATTTCTGCTTTTTAAAGTCTGAGCAGAAGGTGGAGACTCACAACTTTGGGTCCTTTAGAAAACCTGTGTGGACCTGCTGAGGCATCACTCTGATTGGTCCATCAGGTCCATCTCCACAGCCCATAAAAGGAGCACAATAGGTGTCCATCATAAAGCCTCTATGATGGACATCTATGATGAGCCCTTTAACCTCCCACTAGTGGGCCTGATTGGCCCCTCAGGGCCACCGTAGCCTTGACTGCATTCATTTTAATGCTCATTGTGAATCTTTTAAATCTGAGCTTGAGATTTAATTAATTGAAAGAGTTAATGTTCTGTTTTAACCTCATATGAGTATAAAATGAATAATTCTGGAGTTTTATAGAGGCCGGCCTCTATTCTCATGCAATCCAGCCCTCACCCCCCCAACACACACACACACACACTGTTTCTCTCTTTTTTTTAAGGGGGGGCTCCCACCCTGCTTCCATCGCTGAAGATGGAGGCAGATTTCCCCCCTTCTAACTGATTTCTGCTGCATGGATGAACTTTATGTGGTTAAATATGAATATTTAATGTTTCATTTAATGTTTTATTCCTGGATTTTCTCATGGATGGCGTTAATGAATCTCTGACTGGATAATTAGCTTCTGTTTGTGCAGTACCTCTGATCACCACCAGAGGCCGCCCTCCACATCCTCTCCGCTCCTCAAACATAAAAATCAGACACCTTGAAAGCTGAAGCTCAACAATTACAGAAAATAATTTTAATATCTTGAAGTTCACTGTGACACACATCCCCCCCCCCCAACATAAAGGAACAAACCGCTACGAGGAACAATGCAGAGGAGTTGGCAGTGCAACTTTCAGCGAACCCGGGGGGGTTTAGCTCGGCTTGGATGGTCCACTACAACATTTATGGACTGAGGCATGGCAGATGGAGGGAAACCCACCCAGAGACCACTTATTACGACAATCATGGCAGCGTTCCCCTTCCTCACGTCCCCCAGAGGAAACCAGCACAGGCAGAGCGCTGCTACATCACTACGACATGGAAACAATCATTTTATTGGACTAACAACTAAACACACGTT